AAGATGTGGAGAGCCTGGATTGATGTCTGGTCTCTCTTAGTCCCAAGAGCGAACAACTTCCCAGACAAAGAACACAAACCAAAACCTCCCCCACCCCCCCAAGATTTGAAAGTATCTTGTCCCCTTATTGGTCCTTTGGGTCAGGTGTCAGCCAGGTTACCTGAGCTTCTTAACCCTTTACAGGTAAAAGGATTTTGGAGTCTCTGGCCAGGAGGGATATTATAGTATTGTACACAGGACAGTTGTTACACCCTTCCCTTTATAGTTATGACAGCAGCCAAGAGAAAGATAGCTGGTTCGACGTGTACCAGATTCACTCTTGCTGTCATGGGCACTAATAAGGAGGGTCATGGCCGAGCCACCCTTTATGCCTTCACACAGAAGCATAAGGAGGCACAGGGTGGATGCATGGCCTCAATGTACACTGCTATTCAAAATAATGTATCAATGTGTGTATTTTTGCTATCAGAATTGGGCTGTATGCCCAAAATACTGTTCAATATTTTCACTAATGACTTGGATAATGGGGTGGAGAATATACTTATAAAAGTGGCAGAGGACACCAAACAGGGAAGGGTTGAAAGCATGTTCTAGGACAGGATTAGAATTAAAAAGACTTTGACAAATTAGAGAACCACTCTGAATTAAACAAGATAAAATTCAATAAAGACAACTGCAAAGTACTACATTTAGGAAGAAAAAATAAAATGCACACTAAAAAAATGGGGACTAACTCACCAGGCAGCAGTATTGTTGAAAAGGATGTGGGGGTTATAGTGGATCACAAATTGAACATGTCAACAATGTGAGGAAGTTGCAAAAAAGACCAATACCATGTGTGGCAAGTTCATTAACAGGATTGTTGTATGTAAGACTCTGCAGGTAACTGTCCTGCACTACTCAGCACTGGTGAGATCTCAAGTGGACCACTGTGTCTTCAAGTATGTTAAAGGCTGTTATAAAGAGGGTAATGATCAATTGTTCTCCACGCCTACTGAAGATAGGACAAGAAATAATGGGCTTAACCTACAGGAACAGAGATTTAGGTTGGCTATTAGGAAAAACTTTATAACTGTAAGGGTAGTTAAGCTCTGCAATAGGTTTCCAAGGGAGGTTGTGTGACATATCCCTTATGGGAGGATTTTTAGGAACAAGTTAGACAAACACCTGTCAGGGACATCTGGTCACCCTAGTCTAGGTTTACATGGTACGGCGACAGTGGAGGGGGCTAGACGTGATGACTGCAAGGTCTCTTGCACTCCTACAGCTCAGTAATTCTGTATTATGCAAACTCTTCCCCGAAGGGTTTATAATCTAAAACCCCAACCCTGTCACAGATAAACAGAGCATCGACTGGGTAGCCACGGGCAGTGCACTAGGCAGTGAAAAGGGCTCATGAGCATTGTTTCGCCTGTGGCTGCAAACGCCAAACCCACACGGGGAAGCTCGGAGCAAGGGCCAGCTTTGTGCAATCAACGTGCCTGGGGTTTTGCCAGCGGGACCGGAGCGGAGCAGCTGCTGCGCGCAGGAATCCCTGGCAATGCACCCAGCCCTGGGCGCACCTGAGGCGCACCGGGGGGGCGCTAGGCCATGGGGGCTCTGGCCGGAGGGTGTTGGGTGGGTCCCGGGATTAGCTGCGCCCCACAGCGGCTGCACCTCGGGGGAGGAGGTGGCGGGAGGCTCCCCCCGTGGCTCCAGGCTCGGCCCAGCGCCGGCTAGCGGCCCCCGGGCGCGCTGGGAGAGGCCGGGGCGCCGCCAAGGCGGGCAGGTGGGTCGGGACGGGCGGGCGCGCGAGGGCCGGCGGGGCGCAGCGGAGGGCGGGGCCGGGGGCGGATGTCCGGCTGGCTGCCGCCTGTGGCAGCGGCAGCGGCGGGATGGCGCTATCGGAGGCGGCGCTGCGCAGCCAGCCGGTGTCCTGGCCCCGCATCGTGCTGTTCGGGGACTCCATCACCGAGGTACCGGGGCTGGCGGCTTGCGCCGGCCAGGGGGCCGGGCCCGGCGCTCGGAGGCTGCCGGGCCCGCTCCGCTGTGGGACTCCCCGTGGCGCTGACCCGCCGCAGCCCCAAGGGAGCCAGTGCCCCTCGCCCCAGCTCCGTGTCCTGTAATCCGTAGCGTCCTTACACGTCTGTGTCCACACACAGCTGGTGTCCCTAGGGTGACCAGATAGCAAGTGTGAAAAATCAGGACGGGGTGGGGGGTAATAGGAGCCTATATAAGAAAAAGCCCCAAATATCGGGACTGTCCCTATAAAATCGGGACATCTGGTCACCCTAGGGACACCAGCTGTGTGTGGACACAGACGTGTAAGGACGCTACG